AGGTACGGCCATATAGATTATATCATTAGACTCCTTATGCATTGTACTTTCATTTTATATGGTCAAATCCCGGGTGCCAGCTTAGCCCAAATCCCCCATCGTACTTTATAAATTACATTAAATAATTAACAATTCCGAGAATTTATGTCCTGAAATGACCATAATGGTTATGGAAATAATGGTGAAAAAACACAATTTAATGCACACCATATATTTGATATAAGTGATAATAATTTAAAAATATTAACCCAAACATTAATAATTAATTACTTTGAAAATTACTTTAAAATCAACCTGGTGATTAACATAACACACCCTTAATCGCATTCAGGCAACAACTTTGCCATAGCCGCCAACACGGTGTTTAAATTACGGCCAGCTTTAGCGCTAACCTCCATAAATATCAGGCTATTGTTCCGGGCATAAGCCTCCACCTCCCGGCTCTCTACCGCCCGGCCACTGACCAAATCGGCCTTATTTCCCACCAAAGCTATAATAGGGTTATGCGTGCTTTTAACCACGATCTCCCGGCACATGGCCTGAGCCCAACGATACGTGTCCGGCGCTGTCATATCGTAGACAACGATAGAGCCGTGACATCGGGTATAGTATAGGAAGGCGTGCGATCGGTACCGGTCGGCTCCGGGAGTGTCCCACACCTCTAGCTTAAGCACCGAGTCGTCCAAAAACGTTGTCCGTGCGATACAATCGGCGAAATGGGTGGCCGCCCGGCGCTCCTTAAACTCGCCCCTCACGTACCAACCAATCAGACTAGTCTTCCCGACCGCCGGCGCTCCCAATAGTACCACTTTGAACGCGTGTTGAACCCGGTGTTGATTAGTACCGGTGCCCGCATTGGGCCCTTTCACGTCCACAATGTCTGTATTTGTCGGCAATTTTATTTTGTAAATTGTTTTTTATTAATTTTTATTATTATCAGGTTAAATTGTTTAGCGATTATATGATCATCGCGTGAATGATTAAATAGTATTCAGGAATTTTTCGCCAGAAATATTTTTTTCACTTGTTATTAATACTCGACTAAACAGTAAAGAGTCATTGAATGAGAAGT